CTCAGTAGAGTTCATTGAGTAGAAGTTCACTGAGTCTTTCTTTACCCGCTCTTCTCAAGACTTTTTCGTTATTTTGTCTGTCCACTTTGTTTTCCATTCGCCGTCAGCACCACATTTAAAAACTCTCGAGGTAGTTCTTATCGGCCTTTCGTAGAGTCCATGTCTCCGATCCCTACGGAGCTATGCTCCAGACGTAGCACTTTACTATTCTCTTTATTAGATTGCTCGTCAGTAGCATTCTCTTCTTCGTGAATGCCGCCTTGGCGCTTGCGACCCTTGTCCTTTCGTGCAGTATCCGTCTCTGGTCAGTATGCTTCTCAGGTATTTGAAATGATCCACGTCTTTCCAATTCTCGATTTCTTACCGTTATCCTCAGGGTATTATTTCTTTTTGTGATTCTCATCACTTTCGACTTGTCAATGTTGATTTCCATTACGCATCTTTACCCACTTCGACGATTCTGCTCATCATGTTTTGCAGCTCGGTTTTGTTTTTCGATATCACTACTAGATCATCAGCAAACTTTATGGTGGTGTATATATATATATATATATATATATATATACATATATATATATAACAAATAAAGAAGTCCTGAGAGGAGTGGGAGAAAGGACTCTAAGAACTGAGCACGATCCTGAAAAGAAAAGGAAACTGTATCGGACCCATTCTGCACAAAGAGTGCCTTCTGCACGACATCGTCGAAGGCAATATAGTACTGAAAGGATTGGAAAGAAGAATGCAGATGGTTGATGATTTACGCGAGAAAAGAAAATACAGAGAATTGAAAGCGGAAGCACAGGACCAGGAAGCATGGAAGCAGAAGTTTGCAGAGGAAAATTCATATAAACGAATATAAAGTGATTAATGGTCATTAATTAATAGTAATAAAATGGTAAGGAAAATACTAAACAAGGGAGGGGAAGAATATTCAGTATATGTAATCTGCGATAATAGATAATGCATAAGAATATTAACTTTTAAGGGATAAACTTCTGATTCAACTTTCGAGGATCTACCCAATTTGTGTCCGTATCTAAACATAATCAGAACATAATACATGTCGGTTGATAACTGTACAGAGAAAAGAAAGTGACTGTCTATTATTGGTATTACTCAACTATTATCATCGTCTTTACAATATTTCCAAGTAAATAACTTGACGCTTGAGCTATGATGGTATGCCAATATTATGCATTTGCTTTTAGTCAACAGTACGCGGTCCGATCGTCCATTCTATTCAAGAAAACCAGTTTGTCTTGATACGTGGCTAACAGTGGAACATCAATCGAAGACTAGCCAAGCAACTCGGTTCTTGTTCACGCACCGGCGTTTTAGTTTTAGTTAGTACTACAGATTTACATTAGGATATAATGCGGTTTCGATAACACAGAACTGGATCTCCTAAAGATCACCAGTTCGAATAGTTAATTATATACTATACAAGAATCTAATAAATATTCCAAATAATTTTTCATTATATTTATAAAAGTTCTCGTGTCATCATATTAGAGGCAATACACCTCCAAAACGCTTTGACCGACTTCTATGAAATTTTATAATGACAATCACTATGACTGAGAATCAGACATCTATTTTGACATACGCTTTTGGTCACTTTTACTAATTTTTTTAATATTTTTGATCATTTTTTAAATTTTATTTTTCATAATTTGTAAGTAAAAGACACATTCAAATTTTTATCCTCCTACCGCAAACCCCTATTTCGTAATAGTCATTTTAGTAATCGAATAATTTTTTATCCCGCTTTCAGTCAGTGAATGTTTTCCTCTGAATTTTAACTCAAATTTCCTTACACTTATTTTATTTTAATTATATATTCAAGACTTTATAAAAACAAGATCCACAAATTAGAAAAGCCCTCCAATTCACTCGTTGCTCCGCTGTTCCATACACCAGAATTAGGGAGACAAAAAAAAATATGGTCAATTAACTTGATCCAATAAAATTATATCTAATAATAAGTAAATAAATAAAGTAATGTTCTGATATTTTTTTAGAGAAATTAGGTATCATACAAACCTATGGCAAAGATATAATTCTTTCCAGAGTTTTTGAAATCTCACCCGATTTGCTAGATATGCAACAGCATATTTCAAAAATGAATATTTAGATTTTGTTTCGTAATTCAAAAATTAATGAATTAATGAAAAGCGGTAATAGTATATGAAAACAGTGAATCTCTAAATGTGCCAATTTGAATAAAATCAGTTTCAGACAAGCCATTTATATGTTGCGTGCTTTGCAGTGAGTAAACTATCCATATTATTTGTGTTAGTTGCCCTTTTTTCTTAAATACCTTACTTCCACATTCACAATCACTTATTTTTTTATACATTAAACATTTTTTAGAAATAATTTTTGTATAAACGTTTGCTGGGTCAGTACTAGACATATATAATTTCAAGTTTATATCAAAAACTGATGAGGTTTATGTGGCATCGTGAGCAGATAACTGTCTTGCGATCCGTTCACAAATAAAATTTGTATTTACGAATTTTTTGAATACATATTTTGAATATAGAAAATTTTGACTGAAAGTAAGTTCTCATTCTGTTTAATTGTAGCAAGCTTCTCCACTTATCTACGACACCAATCCTAGGAATAATGGTGTAACGATTATTAAGCTAAGATGTCTTGTATGTATTCTTTAATATATTTTATATCTCGATACTAAATTCATGAGATTAAATTTAATTTTTTGCAAGTATTTTGTGTTAAGAATATTTCATTTAGAGCCAAGGGAATGAGCTTGCTTGGGTTTTGGAAGGGTATTTTAGAATTTTTACGTGTAAACGAACGTAGTTGTTTTAATACGATTTCAGATTTAGTATTGACTATATACTTGCTTCGTGGATTAGTGATTCGAGCTATGGGACTTTAATTGGGTGTTTCAGATTTGATTCCCGCCTTAGGCAGCCTGAGGTCTAGCAGTAGTGACATCAGTTTCCAACTGTAAATAAAGATAGTAATATATTTCCAAGTGAAAACAGCCTTTATATTGGGATTGTTGCAATATTCATCGCGATTCCATAAACTGAATTAATGAAATAATATAGAGATAGGACAACTGTTTTGGTTGCCATCTATAAATCCGACGTAGGCTATATATAAAATTATGACAACAGTTCATAGGACCTTTAAGTTCTGATTCCTGGTTAAATAATATAAATATTGACTATATTTAAAAAAAAATATGATTCACGTATTTCCTTATCCACTAATGGTCGTCAACGAATGCGTATATACTATGACCCTGTGAAGGCTATTTTCTCTTAAAAAGAACGATGTTATTACATCCTAAGTCGAATAGTATTTTTTTAACTATTTCCTATCGTATAGCTATTATTTCACTAGAAAAATAAGTAGCAGGCATTGGATTATACTGATTTCACTCTTCAGTGCGAATGTTAATGAAGCCGAACCAAAATCTAAGTGAAAATATTTACAAATTGCTAACATGTTTTTCTCATCATATATGTCTAATGCAGCATATTTATTTTATATTTTCAATGTAAGAATTCGCATTTTATGCAGAAGTTTTTATACCAGTTTTGCAGCAACATAAACCATCACATATTCTATTGCTAATTGCTCAAGTATTTTTCTTACGGCAAAACCGAGCCCATTGTAATTTATTTATTAATGAAATGCGTTATTATGACCAGAAGATTTTCTATAAATTAACATATGCACAATAAGTTGTTTCTATGATTTATAACGGTATTAAGTATCAATATAGCATCGTATAAATAATTCATACTCGCTCAGAAATGCGTTACCGTATGCCAGCAAGTGCAAATTTGTACAATAGACTTCATTAATATTAAAACACTGACTGATATATATATATATATATATATATATATATATATATATATATATATATAGCAAATCTGTATGCCTTTATGTTTATTATTCTCGAGCTTTTCTAAATAATTTTCATTTTACAATGAATTTATTATTATTGAATGAATATGAATTTCTCTACGCTTCTGTTTTTATTATTATGAACTTTCATTAATAAAAGATGTGTTTATGCGTGATATGATTTTATGGAGTGTGGTTTAGCTAAATTTATCATGTGTAGTTGATTAATTTTTTATATTGATGGCTTATTCTACATAAACCAGGGCACTGAGTAGAAATGAATTTGCAAAATATTTGTATGTTGGTATATCTTTAAGAATATTTTCCAAATATCAAATCTGGCAAATATTTTGCTCTCACTCTCGCAAGATCAAAATGCACAACTTGTTATATAGATCCTTCAATGGTTTAGGCAATATAGATAGATAGTGCAAAAAACTAAAACCATGTTTTTATAAAGATTTCTTCTAATACTGCAACTTCCATTAGTCATATTAGTTGTTCATAGTAAGTTCATATTATTGTATGTACTTGAGATGATAATATCTACAAAATATTACGACTGATGGCATCTATTCAAGTAGATCACGGGGTTTGAATTGTAGCCTATGATGGACTTCCATAAGAAACGAATAAAACTTCTATTTATTTTGCGATATATATATATATATATATATATATATATATATATATTTATATTTATTTAACCTCAAATGTATGTTATTACATTCATGCTTCTTGCTATACTTTTCACTTATTATAATCTACATTTGTTCACTTATTATGTGCATTTATATGGGCAAACATTTATTACTCTCTATCTCGAGAGATCTCGAGTTGGTACACAAATCCAGAGTATCTTTAATATTTAAGCATACCAATAGACGACCTTGAATTAATACTAAAATTTGACTAATATGTAAGAATAACAATAAAACGATAATAATAATAAAATTAATGAAGTTCAATCCAAGTATGTTATCAAAATTAGAATAAAGACGTTTTTCAATGTATTTTAGTTCAAAATTAAGTAAAATTATCTAAAATATAAATTATATATTATAATTTTAGTTAATAAATTTAAATATCACCTTTTCTATTTATTATAGTCTCTGGCCGCTTCACATCCTGATTCTGGTACGATATTGGAGAATCTCAATACAAAATACTACTACTACACGCGCACAAAGGGATTGTTCCGGATATGTTATCCTAAGGAACGTCCTCCCACAGGTATATCATTTGACTATCCAAATATTCTTATTCGATAAATCAAAAACAGAACAGATTTGCTCGAGTCTAAAAAGAAGTAAAATATCATCCTAATAGTTAAACTGACAATAAAAATGATAGATTTTCCAGTTTGTATATATTTTTATTAAAATTCTAATAAATCTCAAAATTATGACATGTATTAACAGAGAGTCTATTAATCGGACGTAAACAATTAAAAACATAATTATTTGAAATTCATTCCATTTCACTTTTAATTACATACATGGATGAACATTATTATCTTTTTGAGAAAAACCCGTCATTAGTTGTTAATAATTGCCAATTTGGAGTATGACATTTCTAACAATTAGGGCCTAGATAAAGCAATTTGAACTATTTAATAAATTGGTATACATTGAAGTGAATTTCTACAACACGTATTATAATACATTCAATTAAATATAAGTGATTAATTGCACATTGCGTTATACGTGGGTAACCCAGATTTAGAAAGTAAAATAAAGTAAAAGCGATAATTCTTACTTTTTCCTACAAAGTCAACAACAACCATATACTTTAAAAATTATAATTGGGTATTTCAATACAATCATAATTGATATCCTAAATTTTCATCTCGGTATTGAGATGGTATTTGAACTCATTGTGCACCAGAACCAATCATTATCAGACCAATAGTACCTATAGTGGGATTTGATTTACTGAAAAAATTGATATAATTTGTTTAGAAATATTTGATGTTAAATCCCTCTCTATACTAAAGGTATGTTCGCGGATTTATTAATGCAAGTGTTACTAATATAATGTTTAGTGATTGAATGCCTCGCTTGTTCTATAACAAATTTTAATGAAGTATTTTGCACTTTTTGTAATTTAATAAAATTTTGTTTATTGGTCATTGAAATTGGTCTTTTGATTTCCATGTGATTTCTTTATGTATGTATATAATAGATCTGAAACTTTTCCAAAGGGTTTCCAAAAGCCCTCCTAATAATATGAAATGAAAGAAAAAATGATTAATCTAGAATGATGTTGCAATGGTATATACTTCGATTAAGTTAAAAAAAAAATTTTTTTGACAAAATGGCGACTGTTTGAAACAAAGGATCATTTTTCTCACCACTTTTTGAATTTCATGATTTTTTAAAAAAATAGTAAAATTAAAGTTGGGGATGAAGCTAGTATATGAGGCCAGGGATAAGTCTATAAAGAAAATTCTCTGAAAATTTCAAGAGAATCGGTTCAATAGAACTCGAGAACTCTTGGGTATCGTATTGAAAAAGACGGTTTTGAGAGAAAGGCGTTTAAAGTCCAATAAGTTAACAGGAAGGTAACAGAAGAGAATTATTATGGTCAAACAGCTGTATCTTCAAAAACAATTCAAATTTTTAAAAATCCTCTCGTACATGTATTCTTAAATTGTTAAACTTTGAAAGTATGGAACAACATAGAAAACGACTTTTTTGAATTTTTACACTAGAGCACCCTTAAGTTCTAATCGCTGTTTAAATAATATATAAAAATTTTCGTATTTAAAATTTGGTACAAATAAATTTATGGCTGATCAATAGTTACTGAATCACAGTGTAGGGTGCGCCAAATAACATTTTTATTGAAAAATGCTATAAAATTCTCAAATTTCTTTTTTTTATTTGAAAACACAATACTTGTGGTTAATCTTGAAAATGATTTCATTGAAATGGCTGCCTCGGCTGGCCATGCATTAGTTACAATCATGTTAATCAGCAGCAAAAAAAACGTTAGATTGTGATCATCCACATACTTTAATAAATTGGTGTTGATTCTATACAATAATTTAGTTGCAGTATCATTCCAGTCGTACTTTGTTGGTTTTCGTAAATATAAGGTTTAGCTTAATGGCATGTTCATCATTTTCCTTCTTTTTTTTTATGCTGTTTAGTATATAATTTCCGTTATGCACCTCCTAACTAAACTTGTAAGGTTTTATCTGGTAATATAGCCGGCGCCATTAAAGTGTAAAATTGTTAAGGCCGCATGCAAGATTTCTTGAAATTCTATTTGCGGAGCCTTTTCACATTTACCGTTCTTCGGTTAATGCTAAAGTAATCCGCGACTGTCATACATATTTACATTCCACATACCTTGCATATTCATCTTTAATCAATGCTGGCCAATACATATGGCATGTGCTCATAATAGGCCGTAGATATTTCAAGTAACGATAACGGTTCGAAAACTAATGGAACGGAACTTTGATGAAAATGTACGTAATAATAGTAATGCTAAATATCTTGCTCTTAAAGCAACACGTGATAAGTAATTAGGCTTATAGTAATACTGCAACTTCATAAGTTATGAATAAAGAAACAACACAATATCTGTAAATCCAAAAATAACGCATTATGGCCCGTTTATGAAGAATCCGGCAAAAGTTTATTTTTATGTGTTTGATCATTTATTTACATAAGATATTCAATCGTTCAGCGCTGCAATTCTTTACAGTGATAATTATTTAAAACAGTAAAACGAGAAAGATGAAATGCATTTTTACTTATTAGTAGACTTAAATTAGGCCATAATTTAAAAAAAAACTTTTGTTATGAATTTGATCTAGCAACCTGCTTAGAATTAGGATGTCAGTTTTTATACCACTGACAACGCCTGATTACTTTCCTGATGCAATATTTCCGAGGAAAGTGGCGCGATTTAATTTTTTTATCATCTTTTTATATATAAAATTTGCACAGGGATCAGATTTTAAGGATTATATAAACTGTTGTGATGAGTTACTAT